ATCGGAGTCCGACTTGATGTACATGTCTTTGATCGCAAGCGAGATGGAGTCTCATAAAGCGCCTAAGACTGCTAAGGCTTCCGCTGTCAGCGCTGATGCTACAAATTTTCTTGTTGAGGAACTTTCCCGGATTGTGTCTCCCTCTGGATTGGAGATAATCCAACCCATGCCTCTATTCTTGGATTATGGGTTCCACGCTCCATATGTGCAGCATGTTGTGACTGTGGGCAGCGCAACGGTTTTTTTGGCTTGGAGGATTGCGAATGCTTAGAATCCTTTTCGGAGTTTGCTGCTTGCCAAGAATGTGCTTCCGAGGATGCTTTTTCTACCAGATCGGGGCCTGTAGTGATGGTTCCTTCGAATATGAGTTTGTTTCTCGCTGTCTAGAGGTACCAGAGAATCCAGGGGTAAAGTGGAGTCTCTGTTAGGCCCGACGACGGGAGGTTCTTGGATTTATAGAGAGATTGGAGGAGGCTTCTGGAGTCCGGATCCGAATGCGCGACTGCAGGTGTCAGAGTAATTGGGGGAAGAGCTCCAGACTGATTATGCAAACGGACATTCGAGCCAAACGTGGGCAATTGTCTCCGAAGCGCACCTTGTACAAGCCGCATTAGTCCCAATTCCCCTCCAGCTGAGATTGACTCCCACTGGTAATGCTCTGTTTGTAGCTTGCCAGAGGAACTGTTTGATTTTTGGAGATGTGTGTAGATTCCAAATACATTGATACCAGCCGAAGTCTGAGTCTCTAACTAGGTTGTACTTTTTCGGCAGGTGGTACCCTGTATTTGTTGAGAAGCTATCTGATTTGATGGTCTACCAGACCAGAGTGTCTTCTGGTTTCCTGGAGCTTGGGATAATCTGTCTAATAGTTTCCTCATACTGAGGTAAATGGGCTCGGATAATCTCTATGTTCCAATCGTTTGAGTCGTGGTGGAGGAGATCTTTGAACTTTAGATTCGCGTTTTCTTTTGTAAGGGGCCGTAAGGGGCTTGGGGAGACTTGTCAGAGAGCCAGGGGTCTGTCCAAACATCAATGTTGTTGCCGTTACCCACAATCCAGCCAAGACCTTTCCAGAGAACTGTTCTTCCTTCTAGAATGCTTTTCCAGCCATGGGAAGCTCCCGCTGCACAGTCCAATTCCAAGAAGCCTTTCTCATTGCAATACTTCCCTAGTAAGACCTTAGCCAAAAGGCTCTCTTTGTGTTTGAGTATTTTCTAGCTTTGTTTTGCGAGGAGCGCAGTATTAAACTCTTCTACCTCTCTGAACCTTAGGCCTCCTGCTCGTTTTGGTTGAGCCAGACGCGACCAAGCCATCCAAGAGATTTTTCTCTTTTCCGGGGAGGAGTCCCACCAAAACCGAGTAAGGATTGATTGGATGCGCTTGCAGAGTGATTTCGGGAGCTTAAAACATGTCATGGTGTATACGGGAAGAGCTGACATACACTGCTTGGAGTAATACTTGCTTGCCTGCTCCTAAAATGAAGCGAGATGTCCAGTTGTGGGTTCGTTGCCGTACTCGATCCACTAGTCCAGTGAAGACGTCTTTTTTTCTTCTCCCAAAATTTTCAGGTAAGTCGAGATCCTGAACCTCCTTCCTTGTAGATTCCTAAAGTTTTTTTTACCCTTTCCCGTATCTCTGGAGGGTTTTTTGATGAGAACGTGATCGAAGATTTGGCAAGGTTAATACACTGATCTGACATGTTTTTATATGTCTTCAGGATTGGGGAGATTTCGTTGCAACAGCTTGCATTGGTTCTGCAGAAGAAGAGAGTATCATCCGCGAACATAAGATGGTTTATGAACGGGCTTTGGCTTGCCACTTGAATCCCTTTGAGCTTTCCTGATTCATGCGCTTTGGTGCATAATCTGGAGAGCACTTCAGTGCAGCGGATGCATAAAAATGGGGACAAAGGATCTTCTTGTCTAAGCCCTCTAGTTGGGAGCACTTTTCCAGTTGGGGATCCATTTATAAGGAACATGTATGTTACTGAGGTGACAGATGTCATGATTCAGTGAGTGAATGATTGGTGGAAGCCTAAATTGAGTAGTACTTTCCTGAGGAAACTCCATTCTATACGGTCATACGCTTTACTCCTATCAGTTTTGACAACCATAGAACACCTCTTTGTCGCTTTTGATGATTTTAAGAAATGCAGGGTCTTGTGGGTGATGAGAACATTGTCAGCAATGGCTCTTCACGGCACAAAAGCGGACTGATGTTTATAGATGAGCGGATTAAGGATTGGTTGGAGGCGGGTGGTGAGGATCTTAGCTATGATCTTGTAGTGGATATTACATAAGGTTATTGGTCTGTATTCAAAGGGGCTTTTTGACGAAGGAGTCTTTGGGAGGAGGCAGACATGCGTGTCGTTTAGGTTAGCCTCCAGGATTCCTGTTTCAAAGACTTTTATTATCTCATGACAGATGTCTTCGCCTATAATATTCCAGAATGAGTGATAAAAACTAGCTGAGAAGCCGTCAGGATTGGGGGTTGTAGAGTAAGGTGAGGAAGAAGCTTTTCCTTTTTGTTTTGGTTTTGGTGTTAATGAGGTTGGGTGAGGATTCCAGAATTATAATGAAAACTTTTTTTTTCCAGAATAAGGCGAGACCTCCACTGGTACCAATGGGGGGGGACAGTGAAATGGTGCTCATATTCCACCCATTGGAGAGCGGACATGACCGATTTATCGTCATTTTTTTGTTTCCGTCAAGAACAGAATGTCTGGGAAGAGGGTGAGACGGATTTCCCTCAACCGGTGAACTGACAGATCGGCCCCAATTCCCTGACAGTTCCAGCTAGCCAATACTAAGGAAGAGGGAGTTTGGTGGATTCAAAAATCCTCCCTTTCCTTCCGTTGGGGTGGTCTTGCAGCATTGGATGATTGGCCCATATCCTCAGGGTGAGGTAAATCCCCCATTAAGTGTATCTCTGATTGAGTTAGACGCTTTTTTGTTGATGTAGTCTTTCTGGTTGCCAGTCGTTTCCTTGAGTTTACTCCATGTAGTGGGCTTTGTGAAAATTTTCCTTTCCCCTCTGTCGTTTTCCTCTTGGTTGTTGTTTTGATGTAGAGGAATTCTTCCTTGTGGATTGTTTTACAGGTTTACGCTTCGTTGTTGATGGTCTTCCGAGACGGAGAGAGGGGTGAATACGCTCCCCAGAGGAGGACTGTATAGCTTGATTTCTTCCTGGGGATAGAGCTTCCTTGCGGTGATAGCTGGAGATTTCTCCACTTCGAGCTCTGACTGGTTCTCTAGAGGGAAGGTTTCCATCTCGGTTCTGGTTTTTCCTTCTGGCTTCTTATATGGCTGAGACTGTATTAAGTTGGTTTAGGCCCCTTGAGCTGGGGACTCTAGATGTGTTTATGGGTTTCTTCATGCAGTCTTTTTCCTCATGCATGAGGGAGTAGCAGAAAAAGCAACGTTTAGTCTTTCATATTCTAGATTAACCCAAAGAACTTCACCAGATGTAATGCTTATGAGTAGCTTCATCTCCAATGGTTTGAGACTGTTTATCTTGATTCTCAGCCTTCCTTCAAGAATATCTCTATCAATGACACGTCCGATAGCTTTACCAATGGACAGAAAGGTTGTATCCTGCCAGTAATGGAGAGAAACTCCGTGGATCCTGACCCAGAACTAAATGGACGAAGGGAAGTCATTGGAGATTACTGGTTCCCATCTTTGTAGGATGAGCATCCACCTCTTGTAGTGGTAAGGAGAGTTTCAGAGGATGTTTGTCAGTATTTCCTCAGATTCGAATATGAAGCTGAACAGATCTGGACCTAAAGGTCTTCCCACCACTGACGAGTCGAGGTTCCAGAACTGAGTTAGCCATTCTACAACCCAGTGGAGTTTTTAAACTAGGGGGTTCAACAGTCGTCCTATTAGGGTGAAACAGTTCTCATCGATAAGGTTAGAGTTGTTGCTTTCCGGGATCTGGATTGGAATACGCCGGTCAGGTGGAGTGGCAGAAGGAACCCATTTTCCTTCTTCAGCAGCTCAGAAACGGTGAGTCATTTTGGCAGGTTGTGGTGGAGGTGGTTGATTATGGCTTGTAGAGTTAACTGAAAGGAGCAGTTGGAGTATGATAGTAATAGAGTTTTCCCAACAGTAAGGTAAGTATAGAGACTCCAACAACTTATCTGAGAGTTAATGTTGGTAGTGCCGACTTGGAGGTCAATCCTTAGGACTTTCAGGTAAGTTGAAAGTTCATCGGTTCCTGACTTGTTTGTGGAGATGGATCTAAAGAGCTAGGGGTCGCTTCCATGGTGGATTCAAGGGCTAACGATGGACTCTCTAACCCGAAGATGAGAGTGGAACCGCGGAGGCGCGTCTCTCAAGATAAGAAGGTTTGAAAACTTTACTATTTTGGGTAAGGACAAGTGGTTGAGATTTGATGCCGACCAGAGGGAAAGACCGTTTTCGAAACTAGGGTCTGGGAAAAAAAATCTTAAATCATATTTTATAGATTGAATAACTTCTCATATGTTAAGGTTATAATCTAAAAGACCATTTTGTAGAAAACATATTATTTTGATAGATTTCCAGCCTAAAAGTAAAGAGTAAGGTGTGGCTGGTCTTTTCTACCCACCTTTAAGTGGGGAGAAAACGCAAGAATCAGCATACAATGCAGAAAAAAACGTGAATCAAATGGGTAAACAAATGCAAATCAAGCGAGTTTTAAGAAACAGTTACCTTGTGAAATTCGATAGTACAGCAAGATGATGTACGAAACAAAAAATGTGAATCACTATTTTTTAATTTATCAAAAACGGAAGAGCTGTAATTCGTAAATGCAAAACAAGATGTTGTTGCGTCTCTCTCACGCAATGATATTCGTATAGTGTACTAGCTTTTCTTCTAATCATTCACTCAAAAGAGGACAAATTATAAATTTATGATTACCATGAAAAACAAAAATGAGTATTTATAAATTAATTACCTTTGTTCCCCAAGTATTTTGCCGTGAAAGATTGTGTTAACCCGCATATTATGAAGAGTATGGTACTAGTAAAGTCATAATTCAAGATGCTTTTTTTTTCTTTTTTTTTCTCTTAATTACCTCTGTTTGCAAAAACAAATTCATGAATTGGAAACAGAAAAAAAAAATTAAAACAGATAAATCTGAAAAAATGCAATCACCAAATAATTTCTATAGAAATTCAGAGTAAAATACTGCAATTCAAACATAAGCAATCAGAAATAATAATTAAAAGAGATTCCTGCATATTAACAATAGAGTTAAGCCTAACTATATAACCAAATTCCATAACTCTTGCAAGAGGATAAACAATCTATAGGTGAATTATTAAATGAAGAACATAACTTTTTTTGATGAATTCCTGTTCTCTGAAAAAAACAAATATAATTAGTATTGATAATTACAAATGATATTTTTTCAAATAAATTCTAGAATATGTAGAAAATTCAGAATTAAATCAGATTAAAAGCAGGTGATAAAAGCGTCCTCAGAGCCACAGTCCTGGCAAGCGGCAAACATCGCGAAGGAGCCTAAATATTCGCAAGATTCCAAGCCAAAGGAGGTCCCTGTTACCCCCACTATCACAACTTGCTGCACACATGGTGCATGGAATCCCGAGTCGAGGAATGGGGGCATGGGATGGGTGATCTCAAACCCAGAGGGAGCTACGATCCGAGAAAGCTCATCGGCAAGACGATTTGTGTCATCAGCGCTGAGAGTAGAAGTCCTCGCAATCTTAAGTGCCTTACGAGAAGCCATCTCGTTAGAGATCAAAGACATGCACATCCAATCGGACTCGGAAGTCCTCATCAACGTCATCACCAAGGGATCAGAACTAATAGAGATCGCAGGCATTCTAGACGACATATGGAGCATTGTTCCTCTCTTCACTTCTATATTTTTTAGTTTTATCAATCGGTCTGCAAATATTTTAGTAGATGGACTGGCTAAATCAGTCATATTCTCCTTAGGCCCAATGGGTCATGCATAAACTATTTCAAGTTTTAATTAAAAAGTTAACCAAAAAAAATATCAGATCAAAAGCAAAGACAAATTAAACAATTAAAATAATTCGAATAAATTGTTTAAGCATTTTCAAATAATATTCCAGTTATCAACAAGACTGGAAAAAATATAAATAAATTGAGGAATATGTTTTCTGATTTTTTATTGAATAAACAACGAATTTCAGAACCAAAATAATTTGAAAATGATCAAATAATTGATCGGATACAGATTTAAGATCCAAATTTTTATACTTAAAACAAAAATACTTCACAAAATCATTAGTTTTCATTAGTACAATAAGTATAAACGAAAATTTACAGAATTAAGAGTGTAGGAATGCAATTACTACAACATGACAAATTGATAATAGATGAAAAAACTACATAAAATAAACTAATAAATATGATATAAAATAATATCGATTAAACAAAAATTTAGGAAAATGGATTGCAAAGTCGAGATATGGTGATCTATTTGTTTAATTCTATAAACGGCACATAGTGTGACAGTGGCATGACGCTCTAAATCATAGAATACAACTACATTATTCTTATGATTCGCATCATCTTTAATACATAAGCTTTCTAACTTTTTTCTATTGTACTCTCATAAAAACTAAAGAAAATAATCTAAAAAAAGATAAAAGATTGCATGTGTGTGTGCATGAGAATTGAGACTTTTCAAATTTATATATAAAACATTCAACGAGTCCATTAACTTAATGACAGAGTTGAAGATAAGAGTTTATTGCATTTGACTAGCTAAAAATCTTTATAGTGATCAATTACAGAATTAAAAACTGAATGCAAATAAAGATGTTAATAGGCTTGTGACTCATTACATATACTTGAACCCGAGCTCAAGTCCATAACGACTTAGCTCGGTGCACGCACATGTATTTTCTCCTCACTTTTCATAAAGTAGTTCCAAGGATTTCACTTTGTTCCGACTTCTTCATAATATTTCAACTAGTCCATTTTGTGCATTTCAAGCAACAAAAATTAGATAGGTATTTCTCGTTTAAACAAACTTTAATTTTGACATATGAATACATTCATAATCCGATAATTTCGTCGGATATATATTGGACGTTGTCCAGAAATAAACCCACGCAACATACCTTAAAATTGAATTCCAACAATTCTAGTAACGACCCATCACCATCACTGGTTGTCTAGAGTGAATCGTTTTGGTTTGTTGCTTTTGAAAGGGTTGGAGAACGCAGACAAGCCATGTTGTGGCGGCTACTTTCCACCGTTTGCTTGCTTCAAAGGACCGAACCAGAACTCTAGCCAAGCGGCTTGCGAGGACCGGTCCAAGTTTGTCTTCTGGGACGCTTATCACCCAACCGAAGCTGCCAATCTCATTGTTGCCAAAGCACTTCTTGATGGGGGCCGAACTATTGCTACACCTTTCAACATCCGTTACCTTAACGATCTATGATTATATCTTCTGTGTAATTTATAAACACATAAATATACTCAATCACAAGTCTTGCTCGTTAATCACTCGCTAATAAAGTATAATTTTCTTGGGAAACATCACAACAAGATACAGACTGATAGATTCAAAAGTTTAGTGAAGATCATACATTACAAACTGAACCAAAACTATAATCGAAACCGAGACCAAGTAACCGGGTTGTAAACTGAGCTAAGCTCAGTAACTTCGTTACCAGCTGAAAGAATCTTTAGACTTCTCAATTTTGGTGTTGTATGAACTCTCTATTTCTTCCTGCAAACATTTCATTAACATATCAGAGCCCTTTTACACATTTATCGATATGATCATGTCTAGTTTCAAAAACCTTGGGGAGAATCAGAATATGAGAAGTGAGAGATTTACCTTGCAGGATTTTAGTAAAGGTTCTAGAAATGAGGATCTGAAGAACTTGATTGATCTCCCAAGTAAATTTCTCTCTGAAACTGGCAGGTAATTAAATAACTGAAATTATTTATGCTCGTAAAGCCTAATCCAAAACATCTCAACATTGACGGTATATAAGAACGTACCATCATCATCCACATCCATTTTGGAGCCTCCTGAGTTGATTTCTTCTATTAGCTGAAAATCGTTCCGTTGGAAAATGATATGTAAGCTTCAGGACAACAATGTCTTTGTGATGAACTAATTCAGATCCACACTCTAGTTATCATATTGTCTGATATTATTACCTGTGGAAGTGTTGGAACTGCCAGTGGATCAAACTCATCGCAGTTATTTGGGTCGATCGGAACACAGACACGACCTGGAAACCAGAACACGTTTCTTAGGTACGAACATGATTCTTATCAACTGGTGCGATATATATTTAGGAATCAACGGAAGGGACCTGTTTTTGGGTGGACGCAGAAGGGTGCCTTAAGCAAATGGTTCATTTGTTTTGAGACCTGTAATTAAAGAAGGAACCATAACAACTAAACAGTCACTTAACTTGTCAGTAGCTATAAGATCGATGAAATAGCTACCACAATCGCACAGCAGGTTTATGAAAACTGTAGTACAGATTATAACAAACCTCCAAATCAATTCGAGGATACGTAAAGGTGAAGACAATTTCTTCTACGCACCTCCGCAGCGTTGGAGCCTGGAACATTGGATACAAGATTGAAACTGAGCAGAACAGGGATTTTTAAGTTCATCAAGCTAAAAGCTGACTGAAAGACAGATAAGCTTTTCACAACACTTAACATTGATCTTTTTCTATCTAATCACAAACATTGCACACCTTCTGTTTCTTGGACTGAAGCGTGCTTTTAAGCTGCTCCCACCTTGTACGGCTGATGTCTTCTTCTGATAAAGATGATCTAGCCGAATTCTCCCACTTTTCTCTGAGCTCTGACTGAATATCTGTTGTGAAAGATGTAGATCATTGTAAGTGACCAAGCTAAGGTTAGGGCCTCGCGTATATACATCATCACATTCACATACCTTCATCTGAAATCATCTCAAGTATCTTCTCATACTTTTCTTTGCTTGAGAATATACTTTGAGTTGCTTGTAAATCCCTCTCAAAGAATTTCTGGAGAAAATCCCCATACGATCTCCTGAAATTCCCAAGATGAAATTAGTAGCAGAAATAATGTTTTTGAAACCAGGAAGGCAAAGGTGATGGAGAAACCCGTACGCAAGGAACGGATGAAGAGAGTGACCCATAAGAGCGACTTTTCTTGCATTGTTTTCATTACCCTGTGTCACATAAACAATAATTAAACGTAAGAGAATCCATTTCTTAAAGCTAGGAAGCAGCAAAAGAAACCAAAATTAAGCTCTTGAGAACACCACCTTATAAACACGGAAGTATTCAGCAACTGCTGATCTTTGTTCATTAGTCAACCTGCAGGGTTTGATCACACAGAGTTTCATTTCATAACGCAGAAGATGAAATGCAGAAAGTGTTAGCGGGCAGTTCAGTAATTGTTTCACCTTCGAGCTTTGGCATCACAAACCCAACAGTGAACTCCACGACGCCCACTGAAGACCCAGAGGATGTGTTTGAAACCAAAATCCTCTGCAAATTGGCAAAGATCAAAGTGAGTGAGTTACTACATTGTTCTTCCTAAGACAAGACCAAACAGTCTAGCACATTGGCAAAGACCAGAGTGAACACCACTAAGTTCTTGTCATTAAAAGGGCTATTATTGTGTGCAGTATTGAGACATTGCAACTAATTCTCAAGATACATAGATATTCCAAAAAAAACTCATAGAGATGAGAAATTATTTGTGGTACCTCTTAAGGAAGTATCAATGACTTTGATAGCAACGGTCATTAAAGGCCAACACCTGGAGCAAACATCAGCTCCCGAGCAACAGTATCTAACGTCGTCATAATCAGTTATATCCTGAGAAAACAATTCAAGTCAAGTCAAGCAACAAAACAAAATACATAAAAGATGAGCTACAAAATAATTGTTGGTAAGATACAAGGAACTCACAATATCAAAGACCAACTCCCTCTCCACTGGAGTGAACACATTGGTACCAGTTTGTGCATAGGCATGCCTCTTATCCGGCTGCAAAATAAACATCCGTAAGAACTCAAATTGAGTAAAAATGGTCAGCGATGAAGCTGGAAAACGAATTTTACGGCTTACATCTACGCTATACACAGCGCCGATATCAATCTTGTAAGGGAAACTCCCTTTGATAGCGTCTTCCATAGCTGAAGCGTTCTTGAAGGACTTATACCGCAAATAAACATCGTTCTCAAGCGTAAATGAGAATTCCCTTCGGCCAAAGTAGTACTCATCGCAACCAGGATGTTTCCCATCTACAGATTACAATACAATACATATATTCAAAGTGATTACTGCATAGATACTAATTCTAGCTTCCATGTGTGTGCGAAAGAGAGAAGACAAGTAAACAAAACAAGTACCGTGTCCGTATGAAAGCCATTTGTGAATATCAGTGTAAGGAAACATATTTCCTGCAATACAATGTATGTATAAATAAGCACACTTAGAGCGAAAACACGAAACAGCAAAATATGGTTTTGTGAAAACGAAATGCGAAAAAAAAAAACTAAAACTTGCCGTAGTAAATGCGGAGGTAATGAACATTGAATTCGTCGGGATTTTCGATTTTAGTTTTTGGGTTGGTGGTTTGTGGCACATCGATCACCATATCCTCTCCTCTGTTTTCAGTCTCCTCTCTCGTCATCTTTCCTCGCTAAACACAAACGTTTCTTTACTATCTGGGCAAAAACATCATAATTAGAGATTCACATAAACATCATAATCGGATTGAATCATCGGGTAAGTTAGATACAGAACATTTGATTTCAGAAAGCTTACGATTTTTGAAGGCGATGGAGCTTAGCGGAGAAGAATGTCGAGTAGAGAAATTATTTTGGGCATTTGGGGCAAATAGCGGGAAAGAGGAAAACAATTAGGGTAAACTTGGCGGGAGAAGGTGAAACAATGGGCCAACCCGTTATAGTTAATGGGCTTACTAATTTAGGCCCGTTATTGCTTTAAAGCGTAAATTAGCTGTCCCCTCTGCTTTTTTGGCTTTCTTCCTTGGCGTTCTTGTTTAGCATTTACTCTCTCACAGTGACAGATAGATTTCTCGGAGTTTTGCCTTTGTCTAAGATCCACCGAATGATAAATCAAATTTCCTCTCCGATTTACTCTGTTCTTCACTGTACACAAGCTTCACGTAGAACCAGCAATGAGGATTTCTCGAGCTCCAATCTCTGCTTTCGTGCTGCTCTTCCTCTCCGCTGTCTTCCCTCCCCGTCTATCGCTCGGAGATCCGATCACGTGCTCCGGGATAGTTCCGATGAAGCACAGGAGCAAGATGCTCTCGATTTCGGACTTTGGCGCTGTCGGTGACGGCGCGACCTTGAACACCAATGCCTTTAACGCGGCGATCGATCGGATTCGGAACGCCAATACTAGCGATGGAACGCTTCTCTACGTGCCTCGCGGTGTGTATCTGACTGAGAGCTTCAACCTCACGAGCCACATGACTCTATACCTCGCCGAGGGCGCCGTTATCAAAGCCGTTCAGGTGATGGTTTACTGTACACAGAACCACAGCTTTGCTTTAAAATTAACCTATTGAGAGATTCTTGATTCAGTAGTAGTCGCGTGGTTTAGATCAAATGTTGATTTTGAACAGTGGAACTGTGTGATTGCATTTGGGGATTTTACGTTTGTTTGTATCATCGTAAGAATGCATTTATACACCTAATGATTTCTAGATGGAAGATTGAGTGACGCTTATAGCTTTTCTCTGATGTTTGATATGTCATTGAGAACTGTGATCGCATTTTGGGGATTCTGTTATTATGGATCGCATTATGCAAAATGCTTGTTTGATGATTCAGTATACGGAGAAATGGCCCTTGATCGACCCTTTGCCGTCTTATGGCAGAGGACGCGAACGCCCCGGACGAAGATATATCAGCTTTATCCATGGAGACGGACTTAGTGACGTTGTTATTACAGGTATTGACTGGGTTTGGTTCGGAGATTACTTTTTTTTTTATCATATTGTGATGTTTGGCTGAAAATGGGAACCAAATTTGTGTTCACAGGCAGAAACGGGACGATTGATGGTGCAGGAGAAGCTTGGTGGAACATGTGGAGACAGGGAACTCTAAAGTTTACAAGACCTGGCCTCGTCGAGTTCAAAAACTCAAGCAACATCCTCATCTCTCACGTTCTTCTTCAGAACTCCCCTTTCTGGACACTTCACCCCGTTTACTGCAGTGATGTTGTAGTCCATCACGTTACCATCCTCGCTCCAACTGATTCCCCAAACACCGATGGAATCGATCCAGGTTTCATCAGCTTCCCCCCCATTCCCACTTAATTAACCTCTGTTACGGTTTCAAATCATTGACCGGCGTGCTTTAACACATTGCCACAGATTCAAGCTCTAACGTCTGTATAGAAGACTCCTACATATCCACTGGCGACGACCTTGTTGCGGTGAAGAGCGGCTGGGACGAGTATGGCATTGCGTACAACCGTCCAAGCCGTGACATCACCATCCGCCGCATCACCGGATCTTCCCCGTTTGCCGGAATTGCCATAGGAAGCGAAACCTCTGGCGGGATCCAGAATGTCACGGTCGAAGACATCACTTTGTACAGTTCCGGGATCGGCGTCCACATCAAGACCAACATTGGCCGAGGAGGAAGCATCCAGGGGATCACAATCTCAGGTGTTCACTTGGAAAAAGTCCGGACCGGGATTAAGATCTCTGGCGACACCGGAGATCACCCGGATGATCATTTCAACACATCCGCTCTTCCCGTCGTAAGAGGCATAACGATCAAGAACGTCTGGGGCATCAAGGTCGAGCGAGCTGGCATGGTCCAGGGACTGAAAGATTCACCTTTCACCAATCTCTGCCTCTCCAATGTTACACTCACCGGAACGAAAGGTTCTCCGATATGGAAATGCTCAGATGTCGTTGGAGCCGCCGAGAAAGTCAACCCCGCGGCTTGCCCCGAGCTGACATCAACGGCACAACAAGGCGGTTCCTGCGATAACCAAGCGTCATAATACTCATGTTGTGTAGTGTAAGTTATTGTATACCCTTTTGCCATCTTCATATTTCTGCAATCAATCTAATATAATCAAATTATAGAATTAAGCTTCTACAAATTCTACTGAATTTTATTATATAGACAATCTCATCTTCATTGTTTTACTATAAGAGCCATGGAAAAGAAGAAGGCTTTATTTTATTGTATCTTATTAGATTCTAACACAAACTAGAGTCTTGTTCATCTTCTTCAGACCAAACGGTTCAGAAACTTGCGAATCTTCCGCGTAAACATATTCTCCCTTTCATCTTCTCCTTTGAGCTTAATCAAATTCACCGTAATCTTCATGGAGCCATCCTCCTCGCCGGGATGGTGTTCTATCTCCTCCGATGGCAAGGGGCCGACTAACATCTTGATCTCCGGGATATCCACGACGACATCGTCTGACAAAGGATCTGTATCTGTCGCCTTTTCTTCGCCGGAGAAGTTCATGTCGTTGCCGTAAGGGATCTGGAGGGCTCGTCCAAACAGCTCGTGCCGACGATGGTGGCACGGACGGCGGTTGAAAGTAACTGTCATCAACGGACGTCTAGGGAAATGACGATTGATCGGATGAAAATTCACGAAATTCACCGGCACAGTGACCTCATCGGAAGAAGTTAATTCGGGTCCTGACCCGGATCCGGGAATGGATGGGTTTGTGGTGTCTGGGTCTGGTTCGGCTGATAAAGTGTTAAGGTTATCGGCAGTGATTTCATTTTCCGTTTTGGAGGAAACGACGGAGAGAGCCAACGACAACGTGAACAAGAGTACGATGACAATGACAGTAACTGTAACGGTGAGCTTGGCCATTGTTGAAAATATGCAAAGAGACAAGATAAAAAGTTTACGAGGAAATCTGAATAGCGTGTAGGGATATAAATTAAACGGTGTGAATGACATTGACTATTTCTTAGGGTTGGGACCCATTTTCAGACTAATTATTTTCTAAAATCGATAAAAATAGTTTTTTTTTGGGTTTACTTTAGAGGTGAAAAAAAATTACGGGCGGGACTTCTTTTCAGGATAACTCAATACCCCTTCTCAGATAAAAGATATAGACATCTATATCTTGAAGCAAAGATTAATAGTTTTCTTTTTTTCTTCCGTTTCCATTCCCTCTTTCTATTCTCTCTAACGAATCATTACCGAAACTTTCACTGATCTCATCATCATTTAACTATTTTAATTTACTAGGCTTTTGATTTACACTACGGCGCGAATGTGTATTAATAATTTAGTTAATTTTTTAGTTAATATTTTTTAAATTATCAAAACTATAATATATTTATAAAAATTTTCTTTTATATAAAAAAATAAAAACATAATATATAGTATTCCTATTTTTATTTATAAAATTATAAATCTTATTAAGTAAAGTCATAGTAATGATACCTAACGAATTATCCAACTTCGATGTACATATGTTTGATTTAGAAAATGATTTTCTTATTAAATTTTTATTATTTTGTTTTGTATCCTTAAGATTTTTATTATTCTTTTTTAAAAAATTTTTAAATGTTTAAATATTTAGTTTCCTCTTCCTTAAAAATAGCCAATTAGAACTGTTGTGGTTTGAGGAATCTCACAACAGCTCAACGGATATGGGAGATTGTGCACCAGTCAAGCCCGGACTTCCTCTTCCTTATGAGAACAAAAAACCCCGATCAATGGGTGCAGAAAAACTTTCAGTGGATGAATTATCACTCACACTTTTTGGTATCACCCCACACACCAGTGGGAAGAGGCCTTACCCTTTACTGGAAACAAGACATTGATGTCATGATTAACTCCGCTTGTAAGGATTTCATTAATACAACAGTCATTTATAAAGACAAACGTTTCTTCGCTACTTTTGTCTATGGAGAATCAAACCATTCCAGAAGAAAAGCGGTTTGGGAGCAACTGACCTTATTAGGAGAATCTCGAGAGGATCCCTGGTATCTCACAGGAGATTTCAATGATCTTGTGGATAGCATCGAAAAATCAGGAGCCCAGCTAGAGCCGAAAGCTCCTTCTGCGATTTCAGAGCTTTCCTCTCCCAGAACGACCTCTTTGACCTGAGACACTCAGGTAATTTCCTATTATGGAGGGGCAAAATGAATAGCGAGTGGATACACTGCCGTTTGTATATAGCTCTATCCAACAGCGCTTGGGCCGACGAGTTCCCTTCATGAAGATGCAAATATCTCTATTATGAAGGCTCTGATCATAGACTGTTAATCACTATCTTCGACCCTACCAAGAAAAAAGCAAGAGGGCTCTTCAGATATGACAAGAGATTAAGAAACAATCTGGAAGTCAAGATTCTAATTTCTAGAACCTGGAATGAACTCCCCCTCTGCTCAGTGGATTGATGGGTCTCTAAATGCCGCCATGCTTTATCTAAATGGAGTAGAGAAAAATACATTAATAGCTAGAAAGCGTTATTGACAAGAAAAGAAGCTCTAGAAATAGAACTCTCAAAATCACAACCGAATGAGGAACTAATCAACACGTTAAACAAAACCCATGCAAAGGCCTATAACGAGGAGGAAGAATATTGGAAACAGAGAAGCAGACAACTTTGGCTTACCTTAGGAGACAGGAGCGCCAGGTATTTCCATGCCATCACCAAGGGTAGACGTGCAATCAATAAATTTTTTGTTATTTAGAATAAAGATGAAACTGTCTTCCATGAAGAAAATCAAATAAATAATGTCATCTCTGCCTATTTCCATGAGCTGTTTACATCCTCACCTTTCGACGGTGCTGATACAATCAACCAGGCTATTTATCTTTGTGTAACTCCAGAGATGAACTCAACCCTCACAGCTCAACTGTCTTCAGCCGAAATCTCAAGGAATCCCTCTTTGATATCCACACGGATAAATCCTCGGGGCCTGATGGCTTTTCATCAAGCTTCTTCCAATCAAACTGGAACAAAATGAGATCTGAGATACGAAAATCCTCAACTTCTTCGAGTCGGGTATACTGCCAAGGAATATTAATTCCACTCACATCAGACTTATCCTAAAGATGCAAGGAGCAAAGACAGTGGCAGATTATAGGCCTATTGCACTGTGTAATATATATATATTACAAAATCATCTCAAAGTTACTCGCAAAGATACTCAAACCTGTGTTGCAGAGTGTAATATCAGAAAACCAATCAGCGTTTGTCGCCGGAAGAGTTATCTTAGATAACGTCATGATAACCCACGAGGTGCTGCACTTCCTGAAAAGCTCAAAAGCGGAAAATCATATATCAATGGCTATAAAGACTAATATGAGTAAAGCCTACGGTAGGATTGAATGGGCATCCATACACCAGGTGCTTAGAAGACTTGGTTTCCAAGAAAAATGGATTACCTGGATCATGCAATGTGTCACCACCATAACTTTCTCCTTCCTTATTAATGGACAAGCGCAAGGCTGTGTTACCCGACAGAGAGGGATCCGCCAAGGAGATCCTCTCTCACCTTACATCTTCATCCTTTGTGGAGAAGTGCTCTCTTGCCTAGATAAAGCCCTAAGAGAAGGAGCACTACTGGGTATAAGAGTGGCGAGGAAGAGTCCAAACATAAACCACCTGCTGTTTGCAGACGATACCATGATCTTCTGCAAAGCAAATACAAGATGCTGCTTAGCCCTTAAATATATCCTGCAAGAATACGAGCTGGCGCCATGACATATGATGAAAACAAACAAGTCATCAATCACGTTCTTGGCAAGAACACCACAGTGTATCAAGAGGCGAGTAAAAAATGACCTAGGTATTCATAACAAAGGAGGAGTTGGTAAATACCTTGGTTTACCGGAACATTTTGGAAGACGTAAGGAAGACCTCTTCACGGTTATTATGGACCACATCAGATAACGAGCAATTAGCTGGTCCACTGAAAAGCTTACACTCCTAAAATATGTGCTAGCTTCCATGCCCACTTACACCATGTCATGTTTCCTTCTGCCAATTAGTCTCTGCAAGTGTATTCAATCAACATTAACAAGATTTTGGTGGGACGCAAATCCTGAAAAGAAAAAGATGTGCTGGCTAGCTTGGGACAAACTAACAGTGTCAAAGAAAGTTGGAGGGCTTGGTTTTTGAGATATTAAAACATTTAACAAAGTACTGCTGGGAAAGCTCGCTTGGAGAATCATCACCAATCCAAACAGCCTCCTCTCAAGGATCGTTAAGGGAAAATACTTTAACTCCTGTGACTTCCTGGAAGCAAAACTTCCATCAAGCAGCTCTCATGGCTGGAAAGAAATAATGGAGAGAAAGGACATCCTCAAACCACATTTGGGCCTGGCTATCGGGAATGGAGAAGACACTAGAGCCTAGTCTGGTCCATGGATCTCCATATCTAAACAACTCCTACCTTTTGGTCCTGTTGAGTAAACCTCCATTAACCTCAAAGTTGCAGATCTATCAGACAAGAACTCAAAAGAGTGGGATATACCTCGTGTGAAAAAAAAAGAATTTTCTCACCTCGCGCAAGATATCCTGAGTATCGTCCCAAGTAAGATGAATGCAAAAGATCGATCTATCTGGTTACCACAAGTAAATGGAGACTCGACCCGATTGGGATACCATGCTGCAAGAAAATATGGAGAAATCCCCAAACTCACAAGGCCAAGGACCCTTAAACTTCAACTAGATACGCCATGTTCGGTCAGGAAGCTTTTCACCAAAGCTGAAACTCTTCCTCTGGAAATCCTACAAAAGGCAATTCCAATTGGGGAAAATCTGGCAAGGAGAGGTCTAATGGCAAACGCAAACTGCATCAGATGTGGTTTACCAGAAACAGATTCTCACCTGTTCTTCCAATGTGATTATGCAAAAGAGGTTTGGAGAAGTATTCCCCTGAGAGAAGAGCTTGACCTGTCTCAAACTCAAACTTTCGCAGAAGGATTACTAATATTCCGAAACGCGGTACCCATTCCACCTTTGGGGATCACTGTGGAACCCCTCTTTGCTTGGATATGCTGGTCCTTTTGGTAGGCACGGAACTTCCTCATCTTCGAAAATAGAGTTTCAAGGAATGGGTGATGGCGTAAGGAATGGTCCCTGATACTCTCATCAAAGAAATGTCAAACGCCAAGGAATGGGTGATGGCGCAAGTACCTCGAAGCATCAGTCAACAAGTCAGAACAATCTCTCCAACCAGCCTAAGCAGAGGAATATCACGCAATGCAATCCGTTGTAACACTGGTGCAGCTTGGATCTCATCAACAAGAAAAGAAGGACTTAGTTGGATCTTCCACGATTAAGCCAGCGAATATCTCTTTTAGGGATCCCAATAGAAAAGTTGCATCCGATCAGCGCTTACAGCCGAGGCCCTTGCAGTAAGAGAAGCTCTTCAACATGCAACCACCCTTGGCATCACAAGAAATCTGCATTCTGTCAGATTCATAGGTGCTTATTCGCACCAAATCGACAGAGCTCTACAGGATCCTCTCTGATATCAGACTTTTATCTGCAAATTTTATTTTCGTCTCTTTCTATTTTGTTCCGAGAATCTGTAATCACCCAGCATATAAACTGGCAAAAGCAGCTCTTGGACCCGCTGATATTAATGTTGTAGGCTAAAACAACTTTGACCTTTTGGTTTTAATATTAATTCAGTTAATAAAAAAAAAATTTGACGGTAAAGATTGGAGAATGCATATGCTCACTTTTTGTTATCATTCCATAAGAGTTTTTTTCCTTTGAATATAAATTAAACAACAGAAATGTGGCTTCAAAGAATTACAAACTCTAACAATGTTACTTAGAATTTTCTAATTTTTTAATCCACTATTTTCTACAAAAACACCGGCATGTTTGCATTTTAACTTATTCCAGATTGGAGCGTTTAATTATCTGTCAACAATATAACGGCAATTTCACGGGTGGACTATATTGCAGTTTGACCATAAAGTGAAGGGTTGACTTGTATTTTTTAGAGGTAGAGGGTAGATTTGCAAAAAAATAAAAATAAATAACAGCTTAAATTGCAGAAAACCTTAAAAAAAAGAGTGGTGGCCACAATGATTTCATGGGGCATTTGACCGAAATGACTTTTCTTTAAGTGTAAGATTATTATTAACCAAAATGAATTTTCTTTTATTTTATTATAATATATACATTTTTTAGTTCAAGATTTAAAGTATATATATATATATATATAATCGGTTTTATGATTGATTTAAGTGTCACATAATAAATACATTGGTTAGTTTTGAGATGAAAAGCATATCTATTATATTAAAAGAAAATCCCAACTGAAAAATAACCTTCTTTCATGTGTTTACATTAAATCTCTTAAGTTATTGAAAGTTGTCATAAAATGGATACCTCAATTTAATATTTGTACCGCCAAGAAATCAACAACACGGAAACTTTCTTCATACATACACTTTTTAAACTTTAGTTTACACTTTAGACACTCTTTTACTATTGGCACACTTCTATTTATAATTTGTATACCTAAGTTCCTTTGTTGCCCTTCATCCTTATGATAAAGTTATTTTTTTTAACAATGAACTAGAATATTGACCAGTACGCATGTGCGGACATGAACAATTTTTAAAATGTAATTGTCTAAATACAATATCTAAATCTGTTTTAAATATTTTAATTTTTATAGTATATGAAACTCAAGATCAGTGCTTTGAATTATAAGACTTTAAATAAAGTAGTAAAATATGATATAATTTTAACTAAATATTTTGTTATAACAAAAGGTTCATTTATATTTTAGGAAAGACTTAAAAAATAATAATTAAATTTGAAAAACACAAAACTTATTTTTCCACGATCAGATTTTATAAAACTTGACCCGTTATATTAGAGGGTCAAATAGATCAAACCTGTGGATAGCTGGTTACTTTCTTCGGATTTGCGGATCAAACTGCAAATTTTATCTTCTCTGTTTTTTTTTTAACAAACGTTTTTCATTTTCTTTGTCTTCTTATAATCTTCCTCAATTTAAAGCATTATTTCTTCAAGAATTCCATCATTGTTGGTCTCAATCTACTTATATGTGCGATTTTTCTACTTATAATTTTATCAAGTAGACTCTACAAATAATTGCAAGACCATCTCTACTTAAGCATCAAATGCTTCAATTAGCTCTATTGTAAGACATGTTTCAGCGAAGGTGGAATATAAAACTATGTTTACTGTTCTATGATTTTTCGAAACATACTGGTCTTCTATGAACATTTAGCAACATTTTAAGGTAGAAAAATTCACCATATTCTTCTGAAACTTCTGGAAGGCTAATATCGTAGGGAAGATTGTTTTTTCTGTTGTGAGGGAGCCACTACTTAATTTTTTGATGCCAAACCCGTTTGTTTGGAAATTCAGTGTAGCGATAAAACCTCGCTTCATTACACTCACGATTAGAGTCTATACAACCTTCAAGTTTCATTTTAGCCATATTCGATTTAGATAAATGGATTGGTAGAATTGACATGCCTGCGCTTTGAGTTAGAGTTTGATTTGTTTGATACTCATTGTGTTGAGATGTTTTCTTATATAAGGATTCAAGTATTTAACTTTTTCATTAGTTATTTGGGATGAACGTGATTTTATATGGATTTTTTTGGTTTTTATTAAATGGACATTAAACTTTTCAAATAATGTAGAGGATAATGATTTTGGTTTTTCATTAGATGCACGTTGATTTTTTAGGATATTCAACTTTTGTTACGAAAAATAATGTAGAGGATTATTAAATCGAAATCTTATATTTATATTTGTTACTATTTTTAAACTAAACTAATATTTTAAAATTTTGAATGTTCTACAGAAGATCAAAATAATATCTTATTTTATTATTATAATTTTGTCAACTAAAGTATGTGAAAACATATGTGCACGTAAATGGAGCACCGCCTTTACAAAAAGTATGAATTATTAAGTAAACAATTTGATCAAAATGATTTTGTTATTATAATTTTGCCTACTGAAATATATGAAAATATATGTGCATGTATTTCATATGAATATAGTATTATAATATATATATTTATATATATATAGATATTTGTGTATTTATATGGAAAGTTACAGTGGTCCACGATAGAGCTATAATAAATTTAATATATATATAATATAGTATTATCCATAGTATTATAATATATATGTGTATTAAAATCATCACGTTCAGCCCAAAATTCATATGCTATTATCCATATAGATGAATAATAATATCAGGTCATTCATAATGCATCTGGCAAATCATTCATTTAGTTATTAATACACTAAATTTTGTCATCTAATTAAATTAATTATTAATGAAAATATCACAAAAAAATCTTTTTGCCATGTCATAAACCACATGTGTTAGTAAATGCCATGTCACAATTACATCATCATTACACATCATCATTTTCATGTCACATTTAAATAGGATAGAGAAGTGATTTTAACTAATCAAATTAAAATAAATCAGCATTTTTCATTAAACTACATTCTCAATTTATAGGTAGAGGATCTATACTATAAAAGAAGGTTAACTCTCATTTTGGTTTAAAATTTAATGATACAAATTATATAAAATACAGTTAATACATAAATTTAATGGATTATTAATCATAATACCAAAATAATATGAAAAATATGAAGTGTCAGATAATATACTTTAATAACAATATATATTTAATATCCAAAAACAATTATTAAATATCAATTTTATGGTAATTTTTAAAAATCATTAAAAATATTTATGTTTCTTATTTAAGAGTGTTTTCTTATTTCTAATTAATATCATAAGTTATTATTATAAAAATAATTATACAAATATAAAAATAAAAAATATTTGATATTTTGAACCTAAAAAAGTTAGGCGAAAAATATATACAATACTATAATAACTTAAAAAAAAATTTCTTTATAAACTAATAAATATTTGATCATTTATTTTATTCAAACTTGATCCATTAATAATTTTTATTAATAAGATATCAAAGTCCTAATATATTTATTTATAAAATTTTTAATGCAATTATAAATTAATTATTTAAGCTCATAAAAATATAAAACGACAGCGTTGTTATTGTGTAATTCTGCACAGTGAACAAATACTATATGTTAAAAAGAGTGGTCTCTACCTATGTTATGGTTGAAGAGTCTCTCTAATTAATTTTTGTTATATAATACTTCTCTGATTTGCAGCATATCCATTTAATATATTATATATATACAACGTATAACATATTTCATATTTCCTTATCAATAAACTATTTATCACATATATAGTTAATATCCACATAATATATAATTAAATATTATATATTTATTCAAATACACAATATCCTTAAGAAAAATTTAAATATACGATAAAATAAATTGTAACTACACTTTTTAACAAATTATATAGTAAAAAAAGATCTGCGCATGGCACGGGTACTCATCTAGTATTGTTTAATGAGTGATAATGGCGACCATGAATGAATCCGGAATTACATCAATCTATGTCGATCTCTGTAAATTTCACATTGTGAACTTGAATCTTTGTTCATTGTCGCCAAGGAAGATGAGGACACTGAACTCCATCAATTTCGAATGTTTTTTCCGATGTGTAAATACACGCCGATTTACATCAATCTTCGCCGATCTCAGACGATTCTCTCCATCGATAGAAAAAGTATCAATATATGCTTATAAACCAGATTTGTTATGGAGGTTGGTTAAAATTTCTTGGAAAAAAATGAATTTATGTTGCCGGCACCGTTACAGAAAATTCAGATCTATTGATGAAGAAGATGATGACAACAACATCCACATTACTGATGAATGTGACAATGTACATATAGATAAAAAGTTATGGATTGTTGGAAACAATGTAACCACCATGTTTATCCACTCTGCCATGATCTCGTGAATGATCAATTGTGGACGACCAATTTAAATTAGTTATACTTTTAGATAAAAATAGAGTGCTAATGAATGTCATTTTATAACATAACTGCAAAATCATTATGAACACGACGTAAGAAAGCATATGGATTTGGTGGAGACACTTTCAACACTTTAATTAGTGTGGACAAAGCAAAAATAATTATACATGATAGAGTTAACATAGTTGTGGTGGATGCATTCATGGTAGATATAAGTTAGTTACCCTTATACTTTCATGGACACAATATCATGAACATAAATACAATTGTGTGATGTGTTCAGTTTTTTAAAATTTTGTGTTTGCATATACTTTTCTTATTATGATTGGTGGCTTGTGAGCAATTTTCTCTTATAATATTTATTTTTTTTGAAAGAAGGATATACTTGTTACAAGTTGAACATCACAACATCAAATTTTCTAAAGATTGTAGTTGCCAACAAACTTCAGGTTTTCTTTATCA